GTCTAGATACCTCTGTAATACATGGTGAATGTTCTTCTAGGCAATTTTCATCACCAGATTTTTGCTTGTTTATTTTTGCCCTTCTCAAAGTGTCTCCCACTTATATAAACTCCAGCTAAAGAGAATGTCATACTCTTACTAAAAGATATTTTAAACCAAGGATATGAATTTCACCATTTCTTCATTTTATGACCATGACAGATATCCATTTTACACAGGTGCCACTTTGGGCTGGTAAATTCTTAACACTGAATTCCTTTCAAAGAATTCACCTCTGAGAGCCAGATCATTGAAAAGGTTATAAAGCAGATAAAGTTGAAGTACCTCTTGCTCAAGTTTTCTGTTTTCCCTATCAATCTTCCTTTTACCTGACCACACTCTAGAATTTTTGCTTACACTGTCCAAGTATGGAATCCCCTCTTAAAAGACTCTGAGATGGGGCTAGGCACAGTGGCTCATGCCTATAATCCTAGCTAGCACTTTGGGAGGCCGAGGTGGGAGGATCACTTGAGTTCAGGAGTTTGAGACCAGTCTCAGCTACAGTGAGACCCTGTCTCTACTAAAAATAGAAAAATTAGCTGGGTATGGTGCCAGGAACCTATAGTCCCAGCTACTCAGTAGGCTCAGGAAAGAGGATCACTTGAGCCTACGAGTTGTAGGTTTCTGGGACCTCGGCTGAGGACATAGCACTCTAGCCTGGGCAGAGTGAGACTCTGTGTCAAAAAAAAATTTTTTTTAATTAAAAAAAAAAAAGACTCTGAAAAATTCATCTCCTATAAGGTATAAGTAATTGATATGGTATGGCAAGATGCCCCACCAAGAGTATTTTACAAGAAAGAGCAATTGTCTTAACCCAGAAATATGACAATCTAATGACATAATTCAGACATGAGTATGAAAGTAATCAGAAGGAACTTTTTAAAGACAGAAAGCCCTTCTATCCCTACTGGAATAATTGTCCCAATCACTAAACCTGCTTTATCTACTTGTCTAGACAGCATGGTAACAGGTTGTAGAAGATTAAAAGCTTTAGATTATCATCCCTTAACAATTACTGCATAACCACCCAGATGCAGGGTTTGCAAGATAATGTTGAAATCAAGACAAAAAGAAGGTGGTCACATGGCATTCACGTCTACCCAGCACCCTGTCCCACTTCTTTGGTAAAACACCCTGATTTAATTTTGAAGAACTGGCCTCCTTCACTTTCAGCTCTTGAGGTTATGGTGTTGCTACTATGTCCAGAAATGGAAGCACAACCCAGAATTGGCCAATCAGCATATCCACTCTTTTGGGCACAGGGGTTAACTCAAGAATGGCCCTAAGATTGTGCAATAAGAATCATCTCTATGATGGGGTGGCGCCTGTGGCTTAAAGGAATAAGACGCCGGCCCCATATGCTGGAGCTGGCGGGTTCAAACCCAGCCCTGGCCAAAAACTGCAAAAAAAAAAAAAAAAAGAGTCATCTCTATGATACAAAAGGAACCTAGCTAATCAGAACTACTAGAGTAAAATAACTCTCATTATACTTAGCTTGGAAGAGCTGGTAGGATATACACCTGGAACTCCTAGGTCTGTCTGAGAAGAAAGTGAACTGGATAAAACATTAAAAAGGGGCAGAGGACTGAAGAGGCAGAAGAACAAAGAAGAAACCAGTGTTTGCATAACTTTGAGCATTTGGATTAAGCTATACCTGAAGCCATGACAGATCTAGACTAACCCTGGGCAGGGATGCCCAAGTATCAATCTCCACTTTGGCTCAGTCAGTTTGATGGAACACCAGGGCTGGGTTCTGTGATGCTTTAGAAAATATCAGTCATTCTCAAAAAAAGATGTTACCCTAAGAACCACAAACAACCTGGCACTATTCTCCTATTTTCTCTTTGCTTTGGCTGGGTACCCTCTAGGCTGAGGTCTAGACTTAAAGCTGCAATAGTATGGACCTGGTCACTCATAACCTGGCAGGATCAGC